AGCGGGGCAGAGCGCTGACGGAGTAGGTGGGATTTCGGGGTTAGCATGACATGTTGGTCGTGTTGCTGTTAGCATAAACAAAACGTGTTGCACAATGCTTGCACGCTGTTGCACTTTTATCCACAACTTTCTTTCCGCCGTCTTCGTAGGTCACTCTAAATGCAAAGTGGTCCCATACACTGCTGCTGGCGCGTCTTCCAACTCCTGTTCTTTCCCACTCGCCATACCCCCACAATTCTCCACAAAAACTGATTTTTTTTCTGCTACGCCCAGCTACGCTGCTTCGCTTCTTCTTCTTGTTCACTACTGGTGGTTGGCTTTGGTCGCAGTACCGCCACTTTCTGCTCTGGAGTGTAAACGCTTCGCCTATGAGAAAAAGGAGCAGCGCATGAACCGAACGCAACACACGCGAACCGAACCGAGACAGTCGAACCGAAGGGTTTGGACGGTTTTCATAAATCGTTCCATCCCTAGTTTACACACAAATCATGCTTTTAGATTTCTCCTAACTGTGTTCGGATATTTCCTTGGATACTAGTGAATGTAACTGTTTCATAGTCTGAATATAAATTATCCTGGGAATAAAAATAATTTTCTTCAAAGACCGACTGCCAAAATCAATCCGTTACTTTGCAGTCAGGCAGCAGTCTTCCCAATAAACAGTATATTACCGCCAGAGAAGGTTAGCAGAACAATAAGCCATTACTTACTCTTCGTATTTAATGTGGTAAGCTATGTCCTCTTCCTTCTCCTTGGTTTCTGTGTTAGAGTCAGTCTGAGAGGTGGAGGCTCCGTTACTTTCAGAGTTTAACACAGGGTTATTCCTGTTACAGTCCGTGATTTGACCCTGTCCAAGGGCCTGAGCCTGGTCAGCCTCCAGCTTCCCATTAGTCCTTTTAGGAGGCCGACCCACCTTTCCCTTGGTGGGCGTTATCTGTCCTTTAGGAGAAAGTGTCACATTTTCAATGCATGCCTCAAACCAGGCTCCGATGCTTACGTCCCTGCAGTCTACCAGCTCGTTAATCTGAAGAGGGAAACAAAAAAAAGCAAAAAAGTTAATGGTCTGGACCGTACTGTGCGCTGTGTCCAAAAAAAGCTGGTCTGCACTTCATATTATTTATCATAAAACATGCGCGTATTTTTAGAGATATTACACTACTGATTAATGCACAAACTAAAATGTATTTTTGTTTGTCTTAAACTTATTCTCATACTTTAAATCTAAGGACCACAGAGTTTTCAATAGACCGGCTCAACCACTGCTCTAAGCTAGATGAGACTGTAAACATTACTGACTTCATTTCTAAACACTGTAAAAGTTTACCAATGTGAGGTAAAGAACTGACCTTATACAGGCCAATCCCTGGGTTGATTAATGTGCTCCTGCTGGATGTTGGTGGCTGAGCGTCCTGTGCTGGACTGGAGGACCTGAACCCATTTTTGGTACTAGTAGCGACAGTTTCTGGCTTAGATTCATTTACAGTGGCGTGGCTGCTTTCTTTCTTATTGTCCATACAAGATGAGGTTTCCAAATCTGCGGGGGAGATTGGAGCTTGAAAATTTTCATTCTTCAAGTCAGGCAGAGGAGCTGAACTGCTTGCAACACCTGAGGGGTCCTTGGTGGTGGGGCCATCCGGGGGATCGGTCTGAGAGCGGATTAGCAGCTGGACAATGTCATTGAGACCCACGTTGTAGTCAAAAAGTGTCAGACCATCTTCCATCTAAAAGAAAGCATAGGAAACATTATAGTCATTTATGTAAATACATTACGATTAATTTGTTTTGACTAATTTAATGATCCAACATTTAGGCTAAAAAAAAAAAAGAAAAAGTGATGCTGTTGATATCTAAATAATCCCATAAACTTCCAATTTCAGGAACTGTTTTGTGTCCTTAATCTAATGTGCAAATCCTGACCAAGCCTAAAAACAACCATCGGGGGCTGACAATTACACTTGGAACTACCAACAAGGCTATTTCTGAAGACCTGACATAAAAAAAAACTCCTCAATGATGGAGAAGGAGAAGTGCACCATCATTGTCCTTGGCAGGTTACATTTTTTCAGCTGCCACAGGAAGTACATCCCTGTTGGGCTTTCTTGGTAAGGGGCTTGATGTTCAGCTCCCACTTTAGGTCCTGTGAGATGATAGCTCCCAGGAAGCAGACATACTCCACAGTGTCAATTGTGGAATCACAAAGAGTGATCATAATAGGGGAGGCTGAGTTCGTCCTAGAGTCCACAACCATCTCCACTGTTTTTAAAGCGTTAAGGTCCAGGTTGTTCTCCCTGCACCAGGTGGTAGGCGGACTCATCACCATCAGAGATAAGTCGGATGAGAGTAAATATCTGCATCTTATCAAGAATCTTCTGGCATTTTAATTTTCAGTTCATATATTTTGTCCAGTCTCTAATGGAAGGCACTCTGCTTGTCAAGTCATGAAAAATAATCAGGTTGATTAAAGGGACAGTTTGTAACCAAATTGGCTTTTTATTAGCTAAAGTCAAAGTTACTTTAATAAATACAAATTTTGCAAAAATCTAATAGCATCAAGTCAAAAATGAAGAAATCTATGCATTCTCAGGGCTTATAGTTAGTTTATAAATACATAGGCATTTCACCAACTCGGAGATGCCATTATTAACCACCCGCCAGCAGCCAAAATCATTTTTGCCTGCGAGTGGCCTAGCCTCGATCAATGCCCCAGGCCCTAGAACTGGCGGACCACACAAAATACAGAGATGCGTTATGAATTCCTGGATGCAAAGCAGGCAGGGTTTTGAGGGCGTGACGACAAAGCTGTGCGACGCTTGAGAAAGCACAAGGAAGATGGCAACAACTATTGAACAGTTCTCGTTTGACTCAGCTTTGGAATCAGTTTAGGAAGGATTAGACTTTGGGTTTTCGTTTAAATGTGAACAGGAAGAGGCTCTACACTCATCCATAAGAAGGACATATTCGCCATTTTACTGACAGGCTGTTTGTTTACACTCCCCCACCAGCTTTCTGTCGCACTTACTACATCACAGTAAGTTGCGCTCATTTGTCAGAGCGTTGGCCAATAGGCACTGACATGGCTTAAAAGACAACGGGTTGTTCTCATCAACAATCTTCCGATGTCTCATTCATCGGGGCCAGACTAAATTACTCATTTGATCTCACATTTAGTCTGGTTTATCAGTCTATGGGCCTACTACTTTTAAACAGTCTTATAAAATTGTTATGCTACTATTATGATATTTACACAGATTTGACCCTATCCATATTTTAGTTTTGGATTTTTCAATTAATGCTCCTTGTTTGTTTGTTTGTTGTTTGTTTCTTTGTTTGTTTGTTTGTTGTTTGTTTCTTTGTTTGTTTGTTTGTTTGTTTCTTTCTTTCTTTCTTTCTTTCTTTCTTTCTTTCTTTTATTTCTTCCTGCATTTGCTCTCTACACTGACTTCATCTCCAGCTGCAACACGTTTTTACTTCAGTTTCTTTAAAATCTGCCTCAAAACATTGAGCCACAAACACGACAAATAGGAAATGTCACTTAAGGGCAGATATGGGCAATTTTTGTCCCCAGTTGGTGTATGATTGAAAAGCTAATTTTTTTTTTATAATAATGAATTGGGAAGCAATTGGGAAGCAAAGAAAAGAAATCTGAGATGGGGTATGCTATTCCACTATATCAAGCTAAGAAGGTGAAGACACACATGCCTTTGTCTGTGTACATGAGTGGGGTTTGGGCTGCTGAACATAATTCTATGTTAACATCCGTTATCTTGTCGTGGAAAAGTGTTTGTCGACATTCAGGTAGAGAATGTCGACATTCAGGTAGAGAATGTCGACAGGGCCAAAGTCTGCCCTGCATGAAAAGAAAGGATGAGCTTTTAACGACCAGCAGCTCTACTGCTTCCCTGTTTGTGTTTTTCTCAACTGTCCCACAGAAAACAGATTGCTGCTGCTGCAGTCTATGGGTTTCTTCTCGGTTGAAAAAAAAATAAATAAATAAAAAGCCCAGATACGCACGCATGAATTACATTGATGGGATGTGTAGCTGGGGGGACAGAGATGACTTGGTTGCTATGACGACCAAAAAAAAAAAAAAAGAGCACCCCACATTCACGATCACACACACGCACTCAGCTTCACCCGCCACCCCACGTTAAGTCGGACTATATGCAATTCCAAAATCCAAAACAACACAATCAACATGACCCTTCAGGGCGGATCCAGAGGATTCAGCTGCGCTCTCAGTACAGCTGCTGCTTCTGAGATGTGTCGTACACTAGAAAACATCAACTCACCGAAAATATCAGCAACCTATTTTAACCAGTTAAAACCATTGTGCCGGGGAGACAGACATGGCTGCCATCCTCGCTCACCCTCCCCAACGCCCTTCTTCGTTGTTTGACAATGGGGAAGGCAGAGGTTGTAGGTGAAGGAGGAAAACATAATTTCCTCATCCTTCTTGGTTTTTAATAATCTCATGAAATTTAGATCAGAGGAGCAGTCCGTGCAAACAGAGTCAAACACTTATATGCACCCGTGTGTCCCTCTTCATCGTGGTCTGCCTCAGCCTTCCATTGTCTGCCTCTGACTTTGTCCAACCTCTTACTTTTAGGGTGGTAATAACATTTTCTCTCAGTATAAGCTTTAAGAGAAGTCAGTAAACAAAACAAATTGAGAGCATCCTGAGCAGATAATGAGCCCGCTGGCAGAACCTGCTGCAGAGAGACGGGTTCGCCGTTGATGAGAATGTGTTATTCTGATGGAGACTCGCACAGACAGAATCTCACAACAGCACACGGCAGAATTGCACTGCACCAAATACAAATGGCTGAGCTGATTTTGGTTGTTTTTTTTTCTATTGTCACATGTGCTCTCCACAGCGGCTTCATTTCCAACAGCGTTATCAGGCTCCTGCTGCAAGGTGTTTTGATTCCAGTCTCTTTGGAATCACAAACTAAAAACGGAGAGATGTTGGGAGGAATTGTGCACATGGAAACAGACGAAGTTGCTGTCAGAAACAGAACATTTTCAGGCCCTGTTTACAGCTTAATTCAAAAAGCATGATGCCCCTGCTACCTGCAAACGTGTAGCATTGAAGGTTCATTTCAAACAACTGGGAAAAAAATGCTTCTAAAATTTAAAATAAAATACATTTTCCCCCACAGTGGGAACAATTTGAAGACTGAACACCTATCAAAGCAGACACCAGATGAAACCAAGTATAAAAAGATGATCTTATAACCTTTGAGCCATTCCATGTTTCGTCATGTAACTTCAACTGTTATGGTTCTTTGGATTGTAAAGTTTGTGACAAATCAAAGTGATTTCCTTCAAAAACATCCAGTATATAACTGCCTTGACAATTCACTTTGTCCTTTATATAATATAGAAAAGAACGAGACAAGAGTTGAAAGAAATCCTGTTAGCAGCTTCCTACAAGCCCTGTAGGGAACACAAAGATGACAGCATCATGCTGTAAGAATGATTTTATTCGGCACGGACAGGGAGGCTGGTCAAAGGAGTTGAACAAAGGGCGATCCTGGACAAAAATCTGTTCGAGGTGGTGAAGGACCACAATGGAATGGGCTAGAGGAAAGCATAAACAGTAACACCATGGAACTGCTCAAGTAAAAGGTCTAGACCTAAGACAAGACATGAAGACTTGGTGCAATATCAACTTCCAGCAAAGCTTCAGGTGTGAAAGTAATACCAAATCGACAAGCATGAGTAATCAGAAAGAAAACTGCAGAAACTCCCGCTCAATTACTTCTGGACTCCGCCCCACATGCTTGTTGGAAAGGAGTTGCGCAAAATAGGTCATATTACCGAAAAGAAAAAACAATGACATAGGAGCGGGAGTGGGGGGTGGGGTTCTGTGCGCCTGTTCTCTGCTAGTCTCCAGCTTTGGGCCTTTATCCCTTATCCTGCCCTCAGTCATTTAATCTCTAAGAAAAACCCAACAAATAGAAACTAGTTAAGGTGGAAGAACACTGGCTTTCCTCTGCAGCCTCTTTTTCATTTATATTTCTAATGAACTCCGTGTGTTAGTTTTACCATCTGTGCTGGTTTTCTACATAAAATCAGTTTTTAATAAGCTAATTTAGCAATTGGGGGATCTCTTTTAAAGAAACCAAATGTTCTTTCTGTAGTTTTAAACATGTTATTACAGCTATCCTGGTTAGATAGGAATAATAATCTGCCATTTGTCTTTTATTTCATTTTCTTGATGTTCGATTAAAGACTAATTGTTAGTGGCTAAGCTTTTAGCTTCTCTAATTGCCCAACTGTTTCTAAGCCATCTCTATGGCTCAGAAACGGAGCTATGCAGATGATCAGAGCAAAACCTAATGAAAAAAGCCTTAACTGAATCTGATCATTCATACTGCTGTGGGATTAGCGGATGATTACAAGGTGGGTCATTTAGGACAGCCTACATGTTAGGAGTTGCCAAACTGCAGCCACATTTAAAAGTGGTTGAAAGGCCTGCAGTTGCCGCCTGGGGTTCAGGGCCTTCCATTGTTTTCTGCCCTTTGTCCGGTCTATCTATCTATCAGGGAAGGGAGTGGATCGTGTACATGCATGGCTGCAGCCAACTTCACTTTTTTTCCCCCCTTGGTAATTCAGCAACACAGCAATAACTTTCAGAAATCCAAGTCAAATGAAGAGCCACAACAACATCGATCCCATGGATAATCAAATTAGAACAATATCTAGGTCAGTGCCGTCCTCTGTTTGCAAGACGGACAGCAGCAGTCACCAGTTGGAAAAAAACCAACTATATCAACAACCAATAAGAAACTGCTTTAAAAGAAAAGTAAGTGGACTACAGTGTTTTACATAAATCACACGGACAACATGAGCTGAGCTTTGAACTGTAAGGCAAAGCGTTTTTTTTTAAATTAGCAAATATGCAGGCTTGTTGCAAAAGTGTGTGGGCGCTGAGCTGAAAGGCCGCGTGGCCAGTGGAAAATGTGTGTGAGGCTGCGAGTACAAGTGAAAGATCTTTCAAAGTGAAACATGCACATCAAGTAGGGTTCGGGCAAAACTACAAGACAGACAAAGTACAAATAAATAAATAAATAAAATGAAAAAGAAGACAAAACAGTAAGCCAAAGAAAAGTGGCTCCTGGCTCAGGCCGCTCCCGACAGAAACGCAAGCATGACTTTGAAGCGATGAGGCAGCGAGAGCATAGGGTGCTAGAGGGGAAAACAAGACGCCATTTTGAAAAGAGAATTAGACCGAGTTGCTGAGCTACGAGCCTAAACCCTAACAGACCTCAGATATCAGAGTGCCTGTGAGCACAGCAGCTCATTCCATACATTACTTAACACGTGGAAATCCCCTAATCAAGGTCGCCTGCTAGTTTTCCATCAAAACAGAGGGAAGTGTTGGATGCAAAACCCAACATGGGCTCTTAATCTACTATAGCAATCAGAACCAACTTTAAGTTAACAAATTAATAATCTTATTGGATTTTTTTATATAGCATGAAGAAGTAGTCTTGCGTACTTACTAACCACAAGCAAAGCAGACATGTTCTTAAATAAAAAAAAAATACATATATATATATATATTTTTTTTTTTTTTTAACAATTTGAAACCAACTGTGTGCTTTTCTTAGTTGAGCCAAACAGACTACACAGATTCACAAAGCTAAAACCAAACCATCTGGACATATGAACGAGGTACAGAGTACTTCCTGCCCAAAATCCTCTGCCTGACATACATCAACAGGTGAAGATGATTGAATATTAGCAAAAGGCAGATCAACACACCATAGAGAGCAGTCTTCCCGGCAGCTTTACTGCTTGGCTAACTCAGCAGCCATGAGATCAATCCATATGAAGACATATTTAGACATTTGGACCCATGCAGTTAAAGCATGGAGCCCATGTGTAGCACAGTCAATTCAATAAGTTTAACTTTGTCCTTTTATGAACACAATTTCATAGCGAACGTCTCAACATACTTTACAAGACAAACAGGCCGACTTCACAGACAGTTCTTTAAAATTACTTTAAATTATATTATATTTGTATAGATCCTATTCTTTCCAACGAGATCCACATTGTCCAACTGATTTAAGTCAGCTGATGAAATAATGTTCAATTCAGTGCTATCCATCAGCAGGCATTCAGAGCAAGCATGTGGAGACAGTAAAAAGGAACAATTCCCATTTTAAAAGGAAGAAACCTCTTTAAACTAGGCGTGGTTAAAACGATACCCTGCTGCTTTAAAGCTCCACACTACAGACTGCATGCATTGCAATTTTTTGCAAGGAGCCTACAGCTCTTATTCTCTTTGAATATAAGAGATATGTTCAAATCGTTCCAGTTTGAGAAAGGAAACGTACTACAATAGTTTTAGAGTAGGAAGTAAGAATACTAAAAGATTAGGCTCTGACCTTTAGCCTAGAAGCTAAAGCAATCAAAGATGTCTTGATGAGACGATGTGGGTTTTTTTTCCTAACGTGTTTTAAGATGCAAAGAGAAATCAGCAAGTGACCAAACATTGGCCAATATTCGTCTTGATCAGCCGATGGATACTTTATTCTATATTTATAAGGAGGTGATAAATTGTATGGAATGCACAGTACTTAAGTAATATCAGGCTAGAGTCCCGACAGCATTCTTCAACATTATAAAGGGAAACTGTATTTCCTGTGAAATGTCTGAATTGTTTAGGCTGTAAGAAAGCAAGAGAGAGCAAGACTTCAAATTATAACACAGAAGTTGAATGGGGGAACTTTTTTAAACCATCTTAAATTAAACGTTTATGCTCGTTGGAAAGTACTATCTGTGCTACATTAAAACTGGCTCTGGCAAAAAAAAAGGGAGCTAATGAACTCCACATGAATTTTGCTTTGAATCAAAACAGAAGTAAAACTCTCGATTCCTGTATCATTGCTCTCTATGTTCATTTATAGGGTTGGGCATCAAGAATCGATAATCAATCAGAACCAGTTTTAACTTTTAAATTTTCCCAGAATCATTCGATGTTTTTATTTTCAATTCCAGGTTTGATGACAAGTCCGTCAACTGTAAATAGAAGCTGCCCAATATCAGTGAAGAAGAATACACAGGAGTGTGTGAGCAACCATCTGTTTGTGCTGTGGGATTTGAAATTGTGGCTTAAAGTTGAATAAATAAATGACCAGCAACACTGGAGATGGGATTATATGCATTATATGGGCGCACGGCCAACATAATTAAACACCACCTAACACATCATTGATCCGCTGCACCGGTATTGCAAGGTAGGTTACCAGATGGAATTTGTTCCTCCTCTAAGTTCATAGGGAGAATGCAGGGAGAATGGAGCTTTTTTTATACTTTCTTCCTCTTTACACTTCAACAAACACCTGCCTTGCTTCCTAATAACACGAAAAGCACTTTAATCTTGATCTGCCAGACTTGTAAATAATTTTAACCATAACTTCATTGAGTGTTTATGTTAGTTAAATCGGGATCTGTTTCATATGATAAACCTCACAAATGCACGATGAAGTCAACGAAGAAATCCTATGTAACATTACTACAACATTGGATCTCCTAAAATAAGCCAGAAACTCATGGCTGGTGAATCTCATATGTTAATTTAAGCAACATTTTGAAACAATCAAGATATATTTATCCTAAAAACAGAGGTGAATTTAAGAAAAAGAAAACTGTGTCAATTGATGAAAGACTTTTATAAGGCATTAATAGGTAACGCTGAAGAGATCATTACAAAGAACTACAAAAACTACATATTTATTCCAAGGGAAGAAATACAGCGGCAATGAACCACAGTGATAAATGTTAACAATAATTTGATAACTATATGCTTTCTGCAAAAATATTTTAGAACATATTGTGTGTATTATAGCCTCCATTTTTGGCTATAAATCAAAACCCCACAAACACCAATGACACTAAAAATAAAAATTACCCATTATCAAATAGCCTATTTCCTAACACTAGTTACATTAAAGTTTGTAAATGTTCTTCTATTTAGGCCAAAACATTAGACTTCTTTTTTTTCCATTATATTGGTGCTATTATGGAACAAAAAATAGTTTTAAAAAAATTGTTTAAATGACTAAAAGTGACGATCCTAGCATTGCTAAGGATTAAGTCAAACTTTTTATAATAGTATTTAATAACACTAACCAAAAATGATGATCCCTATTATCAGTTGCTTATCTGAATTTAGTAGGTATAATCAATTTAACTAAATAAGATCTTTTTTCCTTAGATTTATTATTCTCATTTTGTAGAATTGTATAAAAAGCGATCCCAGTCTGAACTGATTCACTCAATATGTTTGAGCAAATAATTGACTAAAATAACATTGTCTATGACATACTTTATATTTAATTGTTTTTGCTCTTTTCCAGACATACCACACACACAAAACTTGGAGAGTCTAAAATGAGTTAATAACTTTCTAGCTTTCCTGCTCATATTTTGTGTAAAAAAACATTAATATTTAATTTCTAGTGGTTAATGTAAAATAAGGTGAAGACATTAAATTCCTCTTTATGTGCTGTTTTTAATCTATATAATAGTAGTTAATTTATACTGAACTGTTTATTAATTACATAATACTATTAATTATATTAATAATTCTTATTAATAATTGTCCTTAAATGTGTCATTTCAGTATGAAAATATGCATTTAACTTTAGTTGAACTTGGTGAACAGCAATGCAGCATGGGAACAGGTTTCTTTACTCAGACACAGTGTACATTGTGCACATGGTGGTGACGCTATGGTGTAAACAAATACAATAGCTTCAAGGCACGTGTGGGCTACAGTGTAATCTACCGCGTTAAATAATAATAAAGACTTTCTAAAGAACAGCATGGAGGGGGGAGCATTATTACATTGGTATAAATGTGAATCAAAAATCGGAAATAATTAGAGCATAGATCTGAATTAGTTAGAAGTGATAACAGTGAGATGCATGGTTTTGCACTGTACTAGCGGGACCAACATGTGGAAACAAAGTGCTGTGCTCCTCTTCCTCTGTAGTGGCAATGTAAACAAATACGTCCACGGTAGTAAGGCACAGAAAGCTTAACCCCAATTTTCCCCATACAGATGCATACGGTGCTGTTTAGTTAGATCTATTGGCTGACTTGTATCAAAACAGGAAGCTCAAAAAGGGTCCGAAACAACTAGAGCTCAGGGGAGGAGGACCGTTGAAGTCTAGCCCCCCTCCCTCCTCTCTGTCAAAATCGTCCAAACTAGCCGCTGCGTGACGGCTCAGACAAGCAGACGTGGGTTTACCTGCTTCCCTCTGTAGAAGAGGCGCTGCTGCTGGGGGCTCACGTTGAAAATGTCCTGGATTTTCAACCGTAAAGTCTCAATTTTGGTCAGTCTGGAAAGATCCTCAACGGTTCGCGTCTCCTTCCCGTCTATCGTGCGAACCTGGATCCACATCGTCGCGAGGCGCCCCTTGTCAGGCCTTCAATAAACTACGGATACAAAAAAAAAAAAAAACGCCGTTGTTGGTACGAAAAGGGGTAATGGGCTCAAATGAGACGGGGATAAACCATTTTTGGAGCTCCGCTGCGTTTTCCTCTGCAGAGGTAACGTCGGGCTGGATCTCGCGCAGGAGGTGCCTTATTACATGAGCTCGCGGCGCCAAGCAAATCTCGCGAAGTAACGTTCTGCGCGCTGTTAAAGACACAGCCCTCTATTTCCCTGTGTGCATGCTTCAGGCACACGCACAAACATCAGTAATAATACAATAATACCTCATAAGCAACTTTTTACTATTATGGTGTGTCATCAATTAGCAGTCACACTTAAGCCCCTAAAGTTTTATTATCATTAATGTCATTATTTTTATTTCCGCCAAGGTGGTTTTTATTAACCCTTTATAGGGCACTCAGTGAAATACTTTGAAAATCTAATTTTCACTGTAAAAATGTCTTAAATTAAGTGTATTTACCCTTAATTCGAGCAGGTAAATGAGATAGTTTGCCAATGGAGAGAATATTTTTACTCTTAAAAGAAGATAATTAGATAATTAATAATTATTTTAAATGTAAATTGTCTTATTCCAGTGGCAAGAT